AAATGCGACTAGGTCAGCTCCAGGGCTATGGCCCAACTGCCTTCCTTGGGTAACTTGTTTTAAAAGAAGCTCGTGTCCTGAGAGCTCATTTTGGCACTAACTGTCCAGCTATGGTTTCACTTTGGAGAAAGGCTTCTCACATTCAGGCCCCTTGTACCATGCTGTTTGTGGTCTAGACCTTGGAGATTCATGTGACCTAGGATATAAAGATGCAGAATTCTGACCCTGGGAGGGAAATTTTTTGTTAACAGCCTAGCTTTTGGGGCATAAAGGTTTATATTAAATTTTAGTAACTCCATATTTGCAAGGGGAAAGTGGGGGAAGGAAACATTTATTCACCACCTACTATATGCCAGACCCTATGCAAGGGGGTTTTCCTAGGTCATCTCATTTAAAGCTCCCATCAACTCTTGTGAGGTAAGTGGTCCTCCCATAGATGAGGACATAGAGGTTCAGAGAGGTCAGACAGCTAGAAGTAGAGCCAAGATTTGAGCCTGGGACTGTGTGATTAAATAATACCCTATATAGGATTCCTCACATACATGCAGGAACCTTTGCAGGACTCCCCATATATATAACATGTATCTGCACCCCAACCCTGGATAGGCAAGTATCAGAGCTGGAAGGAGGGCCTGGGGTTAGGCCTGTGCTTTCCTCCTAAGGTATTTCTCACCATGATCCAGGCCCGTCTCCCATTCCTCCCTGCAGTCTTCTTCAGCAAGGATTGGCAGACTACCACCGGCGGGCCAAACCTGGGCTGCTGTGTTTGTAAATAAAGTTTCATTGGAACACAGCTACCCCCATTTGTTTACATATTGTCCATAACGGTTTTTGTGCAACAAAGACTTTACAGCCTGAAAAACATAAACTGTTTACTGTCTGGCCCTTCACAGAAAAAGTTTGCCAGCCCCTGCTCTTCAGATGCCAACTGTTTAGTATCACTGTACTGTTTCCCACCTCCAGGTCTTTGTTCAGGCCATTCCTTCTGCCCTGAAACACCTTGCCCAACTGTGTTAGTTTGCTCCAGCCACCATAGCAAGATACCACAGACCAGGCCACTTAAATAATGGAAATTTATTTTCTCAGAGAGATTTATTTTCTGGAGGCTAGAAGTCCAAGATCAAGGCGTTGGCCATGTCAGTTTCTCCTGAGGCCTCTCTCCTTGGCCTGTAGACGCCATCTTCTCCCTGCGGCTTCACAGTTTTTCCTGTCTGTCTGCTTCATAATCTGCTTCTTTTAAGGACACCAGCCAGATTGGATTAGGGCCCGCCTTGCTCCTTGCTGACCTCATTTTATCTTAATCGCCTCTTTAAAGGCTCTCTCTCCAAATACAGTCACATTCTGAGGTCCTGAGGGTCTGGGGCTGAATAGATGAAGTTTAGGGGGACACAGTTCAGCTAGGAGCACCAGTCTTCATCACATGGCCAATCTCTACTCATCCCTTAAAACGTAGATTAGGTGTTACTTATGTGGTAGCCAACCTCCAAGGTGGTTCTCTGTGATTCACACCTGGTTTTATCATGTCCCCGTGCACCCCCCTCCCATGCTGAATGGGGCTGACCCGTGTAACCAACAAGATGTTGCCAAAATGACACCATGACTTCTGGAACAACATGATAAAAGTGGCTTCCTCCCTTGCTGTCCCTTAGATCGCTTGCTCTGGGGGCAGCTGGCCACCATGTTGGGAGGACACTCACGCAGCCCTAGAGAGGCCCACTTGCTGAGAAACCAAGGCCTCCCAGCAACAGCCAGCGCCCACCCCATAGGAGTGCGCCCTCTTGGAGATAGGCCGGCCCTCCCTTCCAGGAGCCTCCAGATGAACACAGTCCTAACCATATCCTACCTGCCTTTGATCAGGGACCCTGAGCCAGAACCACCCAGCAAAGCTGTTCCCAAATTCCCACCCCTCAGAAACTGTGAAATGACAAATGTTTATCATTGATTTAAGGCACTAAGTTTCTGGGGCAATTTGTTATGCAGCAATAGATAACTAACACACCTTATCCAGGAAGGCCTCCCTGACCCCCCAGACTTGGCTCCACACCCCGCCTCTGTGTTCCTACAGCCTTTTATTTTTTATCTTTTCATTAACCAAGTCCATGTTTTATCAAACTATGTTCCTTAAATGCAAATCAGTCATTCTAAGTCCTTACCCTATAATCCTACAACTCCCTTTTTGCACAGGATAAAGTAGGACTTACCAAACCCTACCCCACCTGGCCCCTGCTGACTCCTCCAGCTGCTCTCTCCCTCTGTCATGGAGTTCCAGCCACACTGAACTTTTGTTTCCAAACACACTAAGCTCATTCCCTCCTCTGAAACCTTCCCCCTTGCTTGCTGTCTCCTCTCCCTACAATGCTCCCCCTGTCATGTCTGCTGGCACTTATTCTCATTAAAACTCAGCTCCACTATTGTTTTCTGACTGTTCTCTTGATGGCCACCCGCTGTAGTCATTCTCTACCTCATTCCCTGTTTTATTTCTCTTTGACTTTGTATATTTAACATATACTAAGATTTGTGTTCCAGGAAGGTAGGCGCCTTTATCATCTATCTTCTTTACTCGTGCACTTGGCCCTCAGTAGGGGCTCAATGAATATTTGTTAAATGAATAAACAAAGGAATTAATAGATTTCCACCCACCTCACCTCTTACCCCCTCCCTCAACTGAAAGCTTGCCAAGGACAAGAACTGAGTCGTACTCACCTTTATCTCAGCACCATGCCCACTGGCAGGTGAGCAGGTCTTTAACCTGCAGGATTGAACAAAATCCATTGGACAAAAATGGAGTGTTGAGCTGTCCTCTGTGACCACCAGAGGGCGGCAGAGCCCTGGGCCTTGATCAAGGAGAGGCCCAAAAGAGCCCAAAGGAACCGCACCTGCTTAAGGTCAAAGTGCAGGTCCCCAAGGGATGGCTGGTACAGGGTCCCAGGACTACAGAGTAATGATATTTGGTATTATTCAGTCTGAAGTTTATATGTATATTCCGACATAAATAGCCAACATACATGTGGTTAGAGAGCTCTAGCTCAGGTGAGATATTTAACTGGGAAACACTGAGCGGAGGTCATTAGCATATAGGTATGGAATGGAGCTGGGATAGTGGACATGTTCATCTAAAACAAAGAAAACAGCCAATTGCACTCAAAAAGATCATGTCAAATTACTCCTGAGTGTCTACTCTGTTCTGAAGAAACTTAAACCACATTTACTTAACGGTCACAGATTTTAAGTTGGGTGGGACATAAGCAATCACCTATTCTGGCGGTTATTAGACTGTTTGTGTGGTGAAACTTTGGGAGATGCTAGTGTTCTTGGGACTTGGAACAGGTTGAAAAGTTATATTTTAATTCAGATAGGAGTTAGGATCAATTTCATTAGCCAAAAATATGTGACACGGTCACAAGTGGCTTCAAGGAAACACACTGCTGAACCAGACAAGCTTAGTGGGGTCTAACATTTCCATTAATGTTAGTTTTTTACTTGTTTCCTTGATGTGTTGCCTATGAATATGTGTTAGAGGTACCATTTATTTTATGAGACATATGAGAAAAATAATAAGATTGAGAAAACACTATGCATTAACTTTTTTTTTTTTACTGAGCATTGGGAACAAGTGGACATTTTTCAAATGTGGGGTGACAGAGCTTGGTCCAGCTGGAGGTCTTCCTCCTAGTACCTGAGGAAAGATACGTGAAAGCCCATAATTTAGTCCAGTGTCCACACTGGAGCCGAGAGACCAATGGACTTGCCTGAGATCACAGAATTTCAATAACAGATTACTTCTTCCTTGTAAAATCACACCCAAAAAGACATGCAAGCAACATAGGTAGGGAATATTAGTGGTGATTATTCCTGGGTGAGGGGGTTTGTGGCAGACTGCAATTTCCAGAGACAGCCGCATCAGTACATATTCCGTCCTCACACTCTTCTTACCCTGTAACTTGTATTCTCCAACAGGCGGTGGGGAGGTACCCTGCACTCCCTCCCCTTGATCTTGGGAGGACCTCTGTAGCTGTGTCAAACAACAGCATAAGGTAGAAGTAAGGATGCATGACTTCCAAGGCTAGGCCATCAAAGATGTTATGTCTCTAGCCTGGCTCTTTTTCTCTCGGGACCCAGCCACCATATTTAAGGAAGTCCAGGCCACATGGGGAAGTCACTTGTGGGTGTGTGTTAAGGATCTTTTCTGCTGTTTTGATATCTGGGGCCTTACTGACCATGGGGGACTGCCCCCTCAGGGTTAGCCAATCCCTAGAGATACAGAACAATTCACCTGTGAGCACACCTTTCCTATGCAAGCCAGCCAGTCTGGAGACTGTACCTCCCGAGTCCTCTATTGGCTCTTCTCCTTCAGGCCAGCATTCCCCTGTCCTCATCACCCCAGGACCAAGCAGCTGGCAACCAGGGGCAGCCCCTATGCCCCAGAATCATTCAAACTAGTCCATCCTAAGCCCACGTGTTCATCTCGCCTGTTCCTTCCTGAAGAAATCACAATAAAGGCTCATGCCCATGTTTTCCTCCTGCTCCTCTGCCTCCCGACAGACCCTGGTGCTTCCCCTATGGCCCTGCAGGGCAGCCCCTCCTTTTAGGAACTGTGAGGGACAAACTATCTTTTCAATGGCAATCATCTCCTGATCTGCTGGCCTCACCACATCTGAAAAATAACAAAATCTGCATTTTATAACAGGGCATTTGGCCAACCTACCCAGCGAAGGCCCTAGCTAGTTGCCAGCTTCGACCCCCAGACCAGTGAGTGGACATGCTTTCAGAGGCCCACCAGCCCCCACATCGTCCAGCTAAGGGCCAGACTCTGAACTCCTGGCCAACAGAAGCCATGAGAGACCCTGACAAGTATTGTTGTTTCTAAGATTATATTTTAGGATAATTTGTTACACAGCAATGGATAGCCAATATAGGGGTTTTTTTAGTTACTTTATACTTTTCTAGATATTTGAAGTATTTTACAATGAGCAGAGATTGCTTTTATAAAAAGGATCGACAAATTTATTTTTAAAAAGACACTTTGGGTAAGAAGAGGCATCTTGAATTTTTATTTATTTTTTTATGTTGTTTCTACTCCACTAGAAACAATTACATTCACTGGCAGGATTATTCTTCTTAATACAAATGTTTACCGAATACTGTGTTAATACAAAATAGCCATTTCACAAACACACAAAGGGTCCAGCACCAGCAGGACATTTTTTTTTTAAAGTCAAGCCACAAATGCCACTCTAAAAACACTGGAGACGTGATAGGTCTATAAAAGTGGCATGAAAGATAACCAGAGCTCCTGTTTCCTGCAAGAAAGGCCGTAACAAGCAGCAAGACACAGAAGGGGACAGATGCCTAGCGAACCTGGCCATGTAAACAGGACTGGCAGGAGATTCACATAGCAGAGACAGAGTCTCAAATTTGAAATCGCTTACAGAGGCAAAGCAGCTCTTCCAAAACTGGGTCTGCTCATTTTTCAAACGGATTCACTCTTTCCCTCCTGCCCTCCCAACCCTGCCTGAACTAATGCTGACCACATTCACGCATGACACCCACCCGAGGCCCCTATGACCTGCCAGCCCCAGGGTAATGCCCAGAACGTGGAGCCATCACTAGACATGACACCCACAAATCTGGCCTTGTATTCCTCTCAGTGGGGTCTGGGTTCTGAGGAACCACATCTTCAGAATCTCCTAATTTCCTTCTCCTTAGCTGTCCCCATGTGGCCTTGAGGCACCCAGGCTCCCCAGGTATGGCACCATGCTGACCCCTGCCAATCACGGCAGATAGATGGCAAGCCCCTAGTACTGATGACCAGGGCTTCCCAGAAGAGTACCACTAAGAGCTGAGGTTCAGACCCACTTGTGGGCCATGAAATCAATTCCACGGGTTGCAACTGGCAACCTGAGAAAATGACACAGGGTGAGATGAGATGGGGCAGGGTGGACGGGCAGGGCAGGCAGCATCGTACCACACAATAGGCCACACATCAGGGATGGACGCACACAGTGGGATCACAGTGTAAAGTGTATTTCTTATAGGGGGTATTAATCACAGTGGGAGACACATCTGGGACTAAACAGAGGAGAGCAGCTGACCCATGCAACCCGCAGCCCGGCCCCACACCCTGGGAAGGGCAGATGCCAGGGCACCCGGGTAACCCCTAGAAAGGGACTGCCAGCCACAGCTGGCATGTGGGCACCTTCCCTCCTAGCCCTCCTACATTTTGAGAGCAAAAGTCTGTTTGATCTCATCACAAAGACAGGTTTTCAAAGAGAAGGTTGTCAGGACATTACAAGTTGAGGTTATGTGTGCAGGGAGAGTCCACATAGAGCATGATGATCTGTCGTGGCCGTGCCTGGCCCAGCACATCCCAGATCCTCACCCCAAAACGCCAGGTCAATAAAAACTGCTTCTTCTCTATGTATGGATCCATAATCCTTTAAAAAAATATGGCCTTTCTCTTGTGGCTATAGTGGGGAAAGCTGGCTGCACGGCTGTGAGCACCATAGGAGACAACCTGGGGCCTCCCTGACCAGGCACAGCAACGAAGGGCCTCCCCAGAGCTCAGGGCTCAAGGGTGCCAGGCGCTGAGGGAGGCTTTGGGCTCAAGTGTCCTCACCCACTGGGGAGCATCCCAGCCCTCGCTAGTCCCCTGGGGAGGCCTACCCAAAGGCAGAAGCAGAGGACACCGGTGTTCTCATCCTCGCACGTCCCCAGGCACAGGCAAAACTGACAGCTCAGATTTCAGCAGGTCAGAGATGGGGCGGCTAGGGTAGGAGCAGCAGGGGCCCATGCTAAGGAGATGCTTCACCTGTGGACCCAGAGCTCAGTTCGAAGAAAGAGGAAGGACGTGACACCCAAGGACCATGACCTGGACTCCAGGCCCTGCCCTTTACCGCTGGACAGCCTTGGACAACTCACTCAGTCTCTGAGCAGCCTCAGCTTCCCCCATGCAAAATGGAAGCAGTAATCTTGTCTTGCCAGGTATTGTGGGGAGAAACCCACGAGACCATGGCCGTAAATGTGCACATCCTCCCTATTGTGCATCTACTACCTGTTCCGTTGATAAAGAGGGGGATGGAAGGCAGCCATGGGTCCCAGGAGCACACACAGTAGCATGCTGGTAAACTAGCTCTCCCAAAATGCAAAGCTCTGATCTGTAGCCTTTGCCCATTTCCATAGTGTCAACATTCCCACCTTGGCCAGGCTCGCACTGCCACTGGTTTTAACAACTTGCTGAGTTCCTGAATATTTCACACCTGGTCTCCAGAGCGCCATAGGCATGTAAAGCACAGCGATACCCCAACCAACTCCCACCAGTTGACAGCATCAGGCAGGATGAGGTCTTGGCGCCACTTGGTCCGCACAGCTATGCGTCTGCAGCATCCTCCTGACAACCTGCTTCTCCCTCTCTGCCTGCCAGCCACCTGGAGTTGACCAGTCCAAATCTTCCAGACAAATCAGCATTTTGGCAGCACCCAGGCAGTGGGTCCCTGGATGCCCAGATTTCCCCCAGGGACAGTGGCCAACTGCAGGGAATGTCCCATCCAATGACAGCAGGCAGAACAGGTGCCTGACTGGTGCAGCCGGCAGGAGGCAAGTTTCACATAACTTCCTAATGTGGTCTAAGGGGAAAACTTTGTCGAGAGAATCTCATCACAGATATATCTAGATCTATCTACGTATCTCTCCTGAATTTAAAAAATTGTGAAATTGTGGTATGTACATTCAAGGTAGACTTCTAAAATATTGTCTACAAAGGGCTTGAAATCATAAGGAAAAATAATTGAAAAGTTTTAAAAAATTGGATGTAAAAGCATGTATGGCAACAGAAGAAAACACCAAAGTAAAAGTCCGTCTACTTAGTGGGGAAAACAGAATAAACCCTACAAGGTTAAGGGCAGTTATCTGAGGCAGAGAGACTACAAGATTTTCTACCTTGCTAGCATTTTCTGAAACTTTTATAAGTACATACCATATTAATGAAAAGCTCTTATATTTAAGGAAACAACTCCCCCTCCCAGTCACCTGGATATATGCTCCCTCAACCTACAGATGAGCCTCAGTGCATCTCTTCTGGGCCCCTCCTCAGAGGCACCCTGACACTCATCACCATTAACACCTTGTCCCCCTCACCTGGGGCTCCATCTTACCACCCTGTACTCCCAAGGGCTGGCAGACCACTCAGGGTAGAGTCCGATCTCACTACAAACTTGAGCTGGGAGAAACTAGCTAGGAGCCTCCCATTCGCATTCCAACCTGTATTCCGATGTTCAGAGCCACCAAGAGTAAAGGCCAGGGCAGACAGCCCATGGTTGTGAACATGCCTCTCCAACTGCTGATGCAAAGGGTCCGGCACTTCCCTGAGGCCCCCCAGCCAGGCCCCTCCAAGCTCAGAAGAGGAGGAGGTAGAGACCAAGATAAGACAAAGCTCACCAGCCTCATTCGGCCAATGTGCCCCGAGCACCTTTCATATGCTTGGCTGTGCCAGGTGTCACGTTGACAATGATAACATGGAAAGGGTCTCCCAGACCACTGCTCGCTACCCCCACCTCACCCCCACTTCCCTGTCCTGCCAAGTCTCCAGGTTCAGCTAAAACGGGGACAGTGTGTCTATGACAACTACCATGGATGGAGGGTTCCAGCTGTAGATGGAGAGGAAAACTCCAGATCAGTGGTCTGGGCCCCTGGAGACCCCCAAGACCCTTTTGGGGGCTCAAAAAGTCAAATGCTTTCATAATAATACTATGACATCATTTGTCCTTTTCCCTCCTATGTTTTAATGCAAAGTCCTCCAGAGGCCGCCTGATGGCTTAGACATCACAAGCTGAACACAAAAGCAGACGGGAATCCTGCCTTCTTGCTACCAGACATTCGGGAGATTTGCAGAAACTAAAATGACGCCACTCTCCTGCCTTACTAAGTCAGTTTTTGTTTGGAAAAATATAGTTATTTTTAATAGAAAGACATGTTACTTATGTTAACATATAATGAGTTTATCTTTAAATGAATTAATAGGTATTTTTAAATACTGTCAGTTTTAATTTCTAGTATGATGAATGTTAGAATTTGGTGTCCTAAATAATTTTTAAGAGTACCCAAGGGTTCCAGGACCAAAAAGTTTTGAGAGCCACTGATCTACCAGCATCGTCCAAGAGAACTTTCTGTAACTATGGAATGGGCTATATTTGTGCTGTCCAAAGAGGTAGCCACTGGCCACTTTTCATATTATTATGAAAGTATTATTATGAAACACTTAAAATGTGGCCTGTATAACTGAGGCACTGAATTTTTACTTTTTAAATTTTTAATTGGCTGAAGTTTAAATTGCCACCTGCACCTAACAGCCACCATCCTGGACAGCATGCCTCTAGGTGAGCTGGTGTTTCTCTGTCCATTTGGGATTCCTTATATTTCTTTTCCCTATGTTGTGTCTACCAGAAGTATCTGCATAGAGGAGGGTCTGGGCTTGGGTAAAGTGGAATCCTGGGCAACTCGCTTTCAGAGTGATGCTGGGGAAGAGAGGGTGTGTGGAGACATGTCCTGAATTGGAGAGAGGGGAGGAACACGGCCACAGCCCTACGCAACACCCTCCAGCCTGTTCACAGTCGGAAAATTCCACCTTGCAGGTTTCCTAACACCCCAGAAGAAACATCCATTATCAGGGGTGGCTTTCCAAGTGGGCCAACTAAGGAAGCTAGTTGGGCTATGGGGTTGGCTGTTCTACATTGATAATCCTGACTCTTGCCATACTGTACCCATCTCACAGCTGAAGAAACTGAGGCACAGACAGGTTCAGGAATTGGCCCAAATCCTCACAAAAGGTGGGTGCTGGATTTCATCCCAAATCTAGCAAGACACAGCCCCTCCCTCCAGGAGCTCCTGGGTAGGGGGCACATACAAATACCAGGGAAACAAAGGACAGGTCTCTAAGCTATGGTGCAGGTGAGCACAGGGGGTGTTGGGAAGCAGGAGGGGGACTCCTAAGTCAGAAGAAGGCCAGAAGGTCCTCAATGCTGATGTCCAAGCACAGCTTTGAAAGACAAATAGGAGTGATGGATGAGAGGTGAACAGAGTGCCCATCAGAGGGCTTGGTACCTCATTACAAGGCAAACTGTCTAGAGGAAAATACAAGATCACATACCCAGCAGGAGGGGGCATAAGGAGATGCCAGTATCAGATGAGGAGGTCAGCAGGAGCTGTGGGGCCACTGAAGAAGTCCCAGGTCATTGCCCCAGGAGCCCAGCACTGGCCCTGTAACAGGACTTTGATCTCAGCCTGGCATGGTCCCCTAGACAGCAGCCCAGAACCCACATGAGCCCCTACCTCATGTCCATGTCACAGTGTCCCTGCCTCCAACCAGGCCTGCCTTCCCCTACAAAGTGTCCCCTCCCCCTGACCTCCAGCCCTGACCACAATGGATGGGAGATACCTGGTGAGCTCGGCAAGGGCAGACATACCAAACAAAGGCAGCTTCCATGGGTGAGTGCAGACAGACACACGCACACACACACATGCACATGCAAGAGGGCAAAACGTCCCCAAAGCATGTCCCAGCTCAGAACCCACTCTCTGAGGAATGTGTCAGATGATTTAATACTGGCTTGGACACATGAGATTCCAGATGCTAGAACCCTGAAATACCCTGGAATGTTCTAGAACTAAGTAAGCATAAGGCATTCTATCTTTGCCCACTTCAATCTGGTTGGTGGTCATAGAAGGAAGCCCATCTAACCTGAGACAGAGATTCTGAGATTCCAATTCAGATCCTGGAACTGGGGCTGGATCCCCTCCCCAGGAAACATCCATGTGGCAGGTACGAAGCAGCTGGCCCAGGAGTGGGCTGTGAGGCCAGGTCCCTGGAAGCCTTGTCGTTGCACTACCAGGGACTCCAGACACTCTGCTCAGATGCCTATCACACCAGCAAGGCCTTCCCTCTGGGGCTCAGCTGAGGAGCCTCTAAGGGCCATGACTGGCACCAAGCAAGATCTGAATGTCGGCATCACGAACACCAAATCTGGAGCCTGGCAAGCAAGTCCCCGGGATCTGTTTGTCCCCTGTAATGAATGGCTTTCATGATTTCCTTGGAATTTTCAGCACGAGAAGAAATGACCAAGCCCTGCTTGCTTGCTCCTCTGCACTAAGAAGCAGTGATAGTAGAGCAGGAAGTCAGGGGTTGCTCAGGGTGTGAGCCTCAGTCTCCCTCTACTGCCCCCAAACTTCCCACTCCAGGAGCTTTCCCAAATGGGACCAGGGAGCGGGAGTCGAGGCATAGTGTCAGGAGATAAACATGCTCCCCAAACTGGAGACATTTTACTGGTCTGGCCACCATCCAGCTGCAGAGCACACCAGGCAGGCAACAGGTGCCATCGTCAGTGCTGAGTCAATTGGCAGAGGCTGCCCAGAACACCATCTCGAGAATTTTGATACCATACCATGCTGCCATTGATTAGTGATGTCTGCCATGGTCACAGATATACACTATCTGGGGAGGGGATCCAGGCCCAGCTCCTGCAGTTGGGTGACTTTCCCTGAACAGGGGACAATTCCCCAGCCAAGATTTTGGTGCAGAGAAGGAAGCCCTGGCCAGCTGAGCATAAACACATAAACAACCCACCAGACTCCTTCCTAGATTCCCCAGGAACTTTGAAAGCACATATTGGCCCATCTTTTCCCAATTTGCAAAACAATGTCTGTTCCCTTTTCTGACAATGTTACTATTGGCTGTATTAGGAAACACTTGTCTAAAATAGAAACACATTACAGGGTTAATTTCTCCTCTGTAAAAATGACTTAATGCTTTCTTTCTCACCTGGAACCTAAGGGACGGTCTGGCTGTCACCAGAAGTATCCTCAGACCCATCAAAAGCCCTGCCCATGGGAGGGCAGATGGGCCTGGGCACTGTGCTCTGGGCTAATGTTCACAAACACACTTCCCATGCTGCTCTGCTCCAAATGCACAAATGCCCCGTGCAGTCTGGGCCACCTCATTTGGGCACTTTGGCCTGCAGGGTGCTGGGCAGATAGAGGTACCTCCAGATGGCATAGTAGTGGGTACCAGCACCAAATGCCACAAAGAGATGCCAGATGGCGTGGGCAAAGGGGATCCTCCCATCACTCTTGAAGAACAGCATGCCCAAGCAGTAGAAGACCCCTCCGGTCATCAGCTCCCAGATGCCCTCAGTGTTGGGCTGTTGGCAAGAACAAGGCGGGGGCACAGGTCAGAGGAGTAGCCAGCCATTCTCCCCCCACCCAAAATGAAAACATGTAGATGGCAAGCCAGCCCCAGTTCCCTGGTGGACTTCTCAACGCTGTGATGTTGTCAGTTCTCCCCAGGTTAAGTCCCAAAAGCAATTCATTTCTACCAAATTCTCCAATATTTTATAGATTTTTTTACCTGTTCTAAAATTTAATACATTTGGGCATTTACCCCCACGAAGTGACAGCAGGGACTCAAACAGACACTTGCACATCCAGATTCCCAGCAGCACTGTTTACAACAGTCAACAGGTGGAAGCAACTCAAGTGTCCATCAGCAGATGAATGGATAAACACAGTGGAATATTACTCAGCCCTGAAAAGGAAGGAGATTCTGACACCTGCTCCCAATCAATGGCTTCACGAGGCAAATATTACTCTATGTGACAGTCCTGGAAACATGCCCTTAACACATGCTAAGTGTGAAAAGCACACTGCAGAATAGTACCTACAGTGTGATCTCACTTTGTAAAAGAAAAAGTCAGTGTGTCTACACATGCACAGATAGGAGATTTAACAATAAATCCATCATATAAATTAAGAAATGGAAAAGATACACAACAGATTTAGCAGTGGTTGCGCCCAGGGCATCAAACTGGGGGCAGGGGGAGGGGGTCTTCTGCTCTTTTATACATTTTCAGACATGACTTATTTTTTGCAGTATTTAAACATACCCTGACATATATATACATATATATATATGTACTTAAATATATGTAGTACATAATTTGATGGATAGTCTCTAATTTAATAGATATAACTTAAATATACATATTTAAATAAAAATAAACATGGGCAAGGGGGAAAGTCATCTGTAAAGATAAATTCAAATTATTAGCAGGATGACTAATGGTTCAAGACTTCAGTGCCAAGGGTTAAAATGCAAAGAAATCCACAATAGGTAAGATGGCTTGGTCCTAGGGTAGAAACAGGCCAGTCAACGGAGCATTTGAAATCTCAGAAACAGACACATATATATATATATATGCAAGAAGGAGTATTTTTAAATGGCAGATAAATGGAAGATCTAGCTAATCATTTGGTGAGGAATCACCATATACAGAAACTGTAGAGGGAATAAACATTATTCTGCAGTTAAAATTTTTAAATAAACCATAAAAGAAACAGGAGAAAATATAGATAAGTGTTTACATAACCCTGGGAAAGGGAAGCCTTTCTATCATAACACTTCAAGGTAAAAGCCACAAAATTAAAAAAATTTTTTAAAAGCTGTTAGATTTGACTACATAAAACGTTAACACCTACCAATAACATAATTTTAAAATAATAAACTGTTATTTGGCCTGAGCAGTTACTGGGCAGACTGAGTTTCCTGTGCCCGTTTGACAGATGGGCAGCTGAGGCTCAGAGAGAGGAGAGTCGATCCCCACAGTGCTGGTGCCATGCAAGCTGCTCCTCTTCCCTGGCCAGGTCCTCAGCCCTCTCTCTGCACAACTCTACCCCTCACAGGGTGCAGAGGGGCAGCTCTGGGTCCCAGTACTCAAAGTCAGAGGTTGTGGGGCCAAACCCCAGCTCAGCTGGTCAGGGCGGGGCTGCCTGACTTGGGTGCCCCCTTCCCCTTTCTGAGCCTGCATGCCATGAATGCAAGGGGTGGAGGGTGGTCAGAGCCATCTCCAAGACACCCGGGTGAGGAAGTAAGATCTATGGGTCAGCCTCCTGCACTTTGGAAGGGCTCAGCAAGTGCACAGTAAATGTTTCCAACTGGTTGCCCCTCCTCTGGTCAGGTTCATGTGCCAAAAAGCAGGTTAGGGATGCAGAAACACCAGAGATAGCCAGGGGACCTGACAGTTGGCTCTGCCTGTCGTGTTATGTTATTCAAGATTTAGTTGAGCGACTGGGTACTTACTATGTTCCAAGCACCATTCTGATCACTTTACATGGGTTTTCTTATTTAATCCTTAAGCAGAAGGGAAAGCTGAAGCACAGGGGGTCAATGACCACAATGCTGGTTAGGCAGAGCACACAGGCAAGCGCGCCTATAGGCAAGTCATGCCAACCCCTGGGCCTCAGACTTCCCGTCTGCAAGAGGAGAGGGTTCAACATGACGATCTCCAGAGCCACTCTGGGTTCCCTGCAGCCAGACGAGAGGCCCCAGGCCGGATGGTGGGACTTACCATGGACAGGATGACCAGGGCAGGGAAAAAGCCCATGACGGCGTAGCAGAGCAGCTCTACGAGCTTGTACCTGGCAGGGAGACAAGCCATGCTGGCCTCAGGACAGGCTCCCCATTCTTGGACAAAGGCAACACCCTGTCCAGAAGGGTGAGGAGAAGGGCCTTCTGGGCTCAGATTTCACCCAGCTACACCCAACAGGCACCCTCAGAGCTGGGAGTTGCGCACACCTCTTTCCCTCTTGGAGACTCAGTTTCCACATCCATGAATGACATGAGGGTGGCATGCGTGTGGATACTCCCCATGCTCAAGCCCAGGCAGACATTACTATTCAATCTCAGCACCTTCCCCCACAGTGCCTGAGCAGCCACTCCCCATCCATCCGAGTGGCTGTATCAGTTAACACTTGCTGACTGTCCCTGGAGATTCCAGGGGTCTGTTCTTTCCTTTTGCACCTATAGCTCTGTTTCTTTCCCCATGTAATTATTCCTATCCTGTCACCCAGATGGATGGAAGTGACAGGAGTCCGAAGTGCTCAGAGTCTCTTATCTGCTAACAGGGAGGGCAGGTAACATGTGACATGGTTCAGTGGGTCTAGGAACCTACCAGGTCTTTCTAAGACTCTTCAGATTGACCCTATAGGATGTGGACCTGGTGGCCACCCAGGTGCCTGAGCATTGGGATGCCAGGCAGAACTATGCCCTTATGCATCTGGGGTCTCATCTCCCCAGGACACCCCACCCACCTGAGCCCCCAGCTCTGGCTTACCGCTCATGGAAGAAGAAGACATAGATGGTGCCAACAGAGGCCATGATCCAGACCAGCCAACGCATGTGGGAGGCCCAGGGGCCCAGTTCCCGAAGGTTCAGCCTGGGAGAGAGAGCAGAGGGCATGGCCTGAGGGGGGCCTTGGGACCCAGCCCTCCATGGCCAGCCTGTCACAGAAAACTGACCTCAGAGGAGTCCTGTCCCCTATGGCCTCAGGGACGGGACAGGGCTCTCATGGGGAGATGTATGCAGAGACGGAAGAAGAAGTAGAAACAAACGATTATTACAGGAAAATTAGCAAAACTGATCAGGTCCAAGCATGAAGGGAAAGGGCATCTCCAACGAGCAGGACTAAACGAGTGAACCCTGCTCGGGGTGCAACCTGGCCGTATCCAACACCCTGAGGTGCTCGCATCAGGGGCTCAGCCTCACAGCCCCAGGGGCACAGGGAGGCACAGAAAGGTCACTCATCTGTCCCAGTAGGAAAAGCCTGAAAACCACTCAAATGTCTACCAAAAGGGGGAGGGAAATAAGGACAGTATCCTTCTGTGCTGGTCGTCAATTCATTGCTCTCAACTTCAAATTTCTCTCTGTAAGGCTCCATAGGAAATATCCTTTCTGTGCAGGGGGCACCGTGCTGAGCTGTCACCAGGGGGTGACGGACAGACTTTGCAGGAGGGAAGGTGCTTCCTGGCAGCTTTTCTCTTCACTGCCAGCCCAGTGGGGTCTCCAGGGTGCTGTATGACAGGACCACACAGCCAGGCGCCCCTGACGGTACAGCCCTGTGCCTCTGCACCTGCTCTTCACATGCATAGTACATGCCAGGGGTCCCCCATGAGCACATGTAGATTCCCATCCAGCAGGCTGATTCTGAGCTGCTGTCTGCATAACTGACTGGCCCAGAGGTGTTTCTTCAACTGCCCCATCCAGGGGCACCCAGCTCCCAGAAGCTTCCTGGCCCAGAACAAGGAATGAAGCTTGGCCCCTCCTGTGGGTGGCACCCCCCACCCTGGCACACCGAGGGCTGACTTCCAGCAACTCACACCCAGGGGCACCTTGGTGTTTTCTCGGCTGTCCAGCATGCCGAGGCTGTGCCCTTGCTGATGAGGCGGGGCTGGGAGCTGCTGTCCCTTCTATCTGCCACTACTGGATTCCCGGAATTGTCTTTGCCTCTCATTAGCCCATTTTCCATTACTTCAATCTCCCATTAATAATCCTTTCTATCACATTTTCCATATTTGAATCAGTGTATGATGGCTGCCTTCCAACTACACCCCAACTAACACAGCATCCAGTGGAATATTCACAGCAATTTGGAAAACATGAGGAAGACGTGTTTGGGCTGACATGGATAGATCTCCAAGGGTGAGGGAGTCGAGATAACAGAGCCATACTGTTTGTATGTGTGAAGAGACAGGTGTAAATGCAGAGAAACTAATCTGAGCCCCTTCCCGAGCAGGACCAGTGGTTTCATCTAGAAAGGGATAGCTATCAGTGGTGGTGGCCGGGGTGGGGTCCTTTCCCTTTTTTTCTGGAATGAATTTCTTGAATGAGAACAACCTTATGTAAAACTTCTGCCAGAAAAAAAGTAAAAAGCAACCTGCCTAGAGTCCAACTGTCATTATAAAAATGTTAAATAATACTGGAAAGTTTAAAGGTAAAAAAAATAATAACCCAACCCATTACCAAAGGAACCATCAGTGAAGATCATTCTAGATCTCCAGATAACAAAATAGGTCAATGGATAGAAAGCCCTGTGGAGCAGAGAAACAGATGCAGGGACAGGATGGCAGGGAAGGAAGGGAGAAAGGGTGAGAATCTAATTACACAGGTCATTTTTTAAATCAGAAGTATTATATTTAATTGTAACTTGACTTTAACATAAGAAAATGAAAATGAAAAATTTGCTGAACTTCAAGCAACCATTTTTTTCACCATAAAACTCACTCCTGACTCTGAAGTTAAGATAAATTATGAAAAGCATAAGGATATTGTTCTTCCTAATTTTTATGTGTCCATTGTCAACTCTAATGAAAGACATGTGCTATGAAAGACAAGAGCTCTCACACATCCCACACCAGCTGCCGTTTTTCTTAGAGATACTCTGTTGCACATTCTCAAAGTTGGTAATATTCACATTCTGTTCTTTAGCTGTGATCCACACAACTCTTTGATATCGGTTTGCTTTCTTAAAGACTGTCCAGGTTCACTACCGTGCTTGAGTTCTCTTTTTGAAATCTTCTTTTAATTCGCTAGATTTTGTCATCAAAGTAGTTCTTTTTCAAGAACATGTCATGGGTACTGGATTCTCTGACTTCAGATGTGAAAATGATTGCCTGTTCTTTTCACATTCGTGTGATAACCTCACTAGACGGTTTATTCTGAAGTCTACCTTTGAATAATTGCACAAGAGTCAATGCTGTGTTTCAGCGTTGAGTGGTTTTTGCAGCCACATTTTGGAAGCCAGCCTGACTTTTCCCCTTTGTAGGTGATTTGTTTTTTTTCATTCTCAACGTCTGAAGGATTTGTCTCTGTCCATCATTTCTATAAGCTGCTTTCAGACTGCTTTAATTTTTTGGCTTTTTAAAAAATGTGCATTCTTCCAGATAATCTTGTCCAAGACCAGGAGAAGCTTCAGGAGGAGATGCCTGGGTATCAAGATGAGCCAACATTTCCAGGACAAGGGGTGTCAGCAATAGCCCTGGTACTGCACGCCAGAAGGCTCTGCTTCACCTCCACCATCCCACCTGGAACCTGCAGGGAAGGGAATCTGAAAAACGTGGTTGCAGATTAGTGAGATGACACTGTCCAAAGCCATCAGAGCTATGCGGCTCAGCCTGTGACCATCAGCTGGCCCCACTGCTCATCTCCTTTCTCACACTTTTCCCACAGAGCCTCCTCCAGCATCCGCCAGTCAGTAGAGAGGAGGGATGAGGAAGCCTCCTGCAGGTGTGGGTTACTGGCAGGAACCCTGCTCACAGATGAAGTTGAACCTCATACCCCACTGCTGCTCAACTCTGTTACAGAATCTTCTAACTCTGAAATCACGGCATTGGACTGTGTCTTTTTCCTTGTCCAGCAGCACAGTGATGTTTCTTTTGCCCTCCTCAATGTTTGCAACTCATCTGTTTTCTGAAGCATTGAGCAAGATTCTGTGTCACACTTGATCTCTTCACTTTTCTCCGTGACTCATGACATGGTACTGCCTAGTTAAAATAAGTGAATGACGTCTGTGTGCTGGTCAGTGCCCTTAGTTCATCTCTCTTTGCTGCAGCTCTGGGAGGTATGCACTGTCATCATCTCCATTTTACAGATCAGGAACTGAGGCTCAGAGAGATCCAGTAATTATCCAGGGGCCCCTGGCCAGGAAAAGGCTGGCCCAGGACCAGATCTTCATGCTGACCCCACCATCTATTCTCTTTTTACTATGCCACAAATTTTCAATTGTCTTTTACACCCTTTCCTTAAGTAAAGGTTACATGCAGGAATTTTATATAAAGTCCAGCCATCAAGAGCAAAAATTAAAACAAAAAATAAGTTTTTTTTTTATTGAAGCAGGGATGGGGGAGCACAGAGCCATTTATACTGACACCCCCTTCATGGTCCTCTGGGAACCTCCAGGGCTCTGCAGGGAACAGCATGAAAACCAAAGGAATACAAGGTAAAGTACCCATCAAATAATTCCACACCACCTAGCACCATGTCCCCTCTGCACAATGCACCCAGTGTCCAGCCAGGAAACTGGTCACCACCAAGCTGCTCTGTCTCTCATCCCCCACATCCAATCAACCCTCAAGTTCTGCCAATTCATCCTCCAAAATAGCCCCCAAAACAGGACACCTGTCCACACCTGGGCCCCGCCTGCACGGCACTTACCACCATTGTGGTTCAGTTCCTCGTGGCAACACTGAGAGCCCATGTCCGTGTTGCCTGTGAGACCACAAGCCCCACAAGGGCCTGTGCCGTTGTTCCCGCGTGTCCCCAGATACCAGTACAGGATGGGCACAGAGCTGGTGCTCAGTCACAGCGAGGGATAAAGACCAGAAAACCGGCGTTAAATCAGCAAGGGGAGGATGGCCAGAGCACTGCCCTGGAAATGTGTGTTACTGGGCCAGGCCACATCCAGAGGAAATCTGACATTACCCAGCTCCCGGCAACTGCAGGTGGTGCCTGAGGGCAGCTGGGGCTGACCAGCGGCTGTGTGGAATAAGCTCCCTCCTGTGGCAGCTGGCTCCTCTCCCTCTGCTCTTGGCATGCTTCAGTGGCCTCCCACCTATCCAGAAGCTGCCCCTCACCTGGACCTATACTTGCTGTGGCTCCCCACTCCTCAGAGGCCAACATGCAGATCCTCAGAGCTGCATACCTCCTCCAGGCAGTCCTCCTGATGCCCCCACGCCAGGCCACTGCCTCCTCTGAGCTCCAACAGCTGCATGTACACAAGGCTGTCTCACCATGGCTTCACTGGCCTGTCATAGAGTCCCCTCCACTGACCAGACCCTCAGCGTCACAGCCCCAGCACCACCTGGCCATGCAGTACATGGTCACCAACTGTGAGCAAAATGGTCCTTCTTCCCTAACAAGGGCTAGATGGTTTCCCAGACTTTGTGCGTGAGGCCTGAAGCCAAGTGTTTCTTTATTCCAGAACTTTCTGGATTTGTTACCAAATCAGGTTCAAAAACCCTGAGTCACTTGCTGGGGGAGTTTAAGCTGGTACAATCTGTGGAGGTTGATTTGGCGACAGTCAGCCCAGTTACTAAGAGGTACTCCTGCCACTCAGACGTCCAACCCTCGAATTTATCCCACAAAGACCAGGCTTGACCATAGGAACCCACTATTTCTGTAAGTCAGAAAAGGTTGCCTCTAAGCAATTTCTTACGATTGCAGGCAAAACATCCAGGCATGTGTACAAAATGACACACAGGACATTCTCTGCGGCACTGTTTATTATAGCAAAGGAATGGAGCGTCCCAATGCAATAAGTACCCGTAAATAGGGGTGGCCAGAGAATATCACACTATCTTAAAAAAAAAAAAAAAAGAATGGGAAAATTTGCAATGTACTAATACAGAAAGACATCCCCAGCTATATCATCCACAGCGTGCAAGCAAACTGCAGGATGGTGTGCACAATGTCCTTCCTTTTCTAGGAGGAAAGTATAAATTTACACTTACAAATATAAAATATAAGTATATATGTCTGTATGTCCATATATTACACAAATGTGTATATACACTTACATGTACACATATACAAAAACATATATTTACACATTGTGTGTGTATATATATATTTATTTACATCTACATATTTTGTTTTTCATTTTTTATATATTCTATAAAAATATACTTATGTGTTTAGTTTATGTATCTAAATTCAATCTATAAATATATTTTAATCTATAAATTATTGAATACAAACTATTAAATAATATTTATAATCAAATCAAATTATTAAACATAATTTATGACTGAATAATTACACACACACACACACACACACACACACACACACACACACACACACTCTCTTGCTCTTTTGCTCATAAAATAACTCTGGAACTTTATACCAGAAACTGGTAATAAGTAGTTGCTTCTAGGAAGGAAAATGGTGGAGGGCATCTTTTACCTATGCTCTTCGGTGCCAAATTAACATTACCCAGCCCAATAGAGAAAGAAATTCAAAGAGAGGAAGCCTGCCGGTCTGGGGCTGCAGGCACTCACCAGGGTGCGTAGGAGGCCGCGATGAAGAAGTAGATGACAATGCGGTCGAACATGTGCAGGCAGCGCTCCACCACCCTGGGGCAGAGGGGTGGCGGTCAGGCTGAGCCTGGTCGGGAACCCCCTGGACTTCAGGGCCCCCATCTGTGTGTGCCCAGAGCAGTGGTTTGCAACCAGGCCCCCTATACCCTAGGGCTGAATGGAGGCACCCGCAGGTCCACTGGGAGCACTCTCCCTGTGAGGCAGACATCTGACCAACTCCTGTGCTCTAACCAGGGTGACTCGGTCCTTATGTTTTATATACTGGGCTTTCCAAAGCATTTCCAATGATGAAAAAATTCAGTGGCTAAAAGAAAAGGGCAAAACAACAAAACTATGTGTGCCACCATCACCAAAAACCCCTGGTTTCTGGCATGCTGGTTCATGTCCAGGCTCCAGAGCCAGAAGGCCTAGGCTCAAATCCCAGCCCCAGTTAGGGACCCTATGACCCTGAAACAGTTCCCTACTGTCTCCAGACCTGGGCTCCCTCCTCTGTCAAACAGGGAGGCTGTCGCCAGCCCACCTTGGGCCTCCGAAAGGACTAAGCGCATCAGTACTTAGCACAGTGCTTGACAAGAAGCACTCCACAGACATGTGCTATTTGTTATGACCTCACCTTGCAGAATGAACCACAGCTCTCAGTGTGTCTGACCAGGGTAGCAGCCAGCCTCCAAAACGGTGCCCAAGGAGCCCACCTTCTTCTGACATTCACACCCAGGTATAGCCCCCTCCCACGAGGACGAAGGCAAATGCGTGTAACCAATATGAGATGGCAGAAATGACGGTGTGTTATTCCAAGACTAGATCATAAAAAGGTGCCACAGCCTCTCCCTTGTCCTCTTGGACGACTGACTTCAGAGGACACGAGCCACCATGTGTCTGTGGACAAGTCCACGTGGGAAGGACTGAACACCCCGAACATCATGGGGCTTCTGGGCCAGGGGGACACTGAACCTGAGGATGCGTGGCCATTGCAGCTGCCGCAATGGGCCCTGGCATCCCCTGGCTTCTGGAGCGAGCCCTGGGCTCTTGGCACCAGCTCTGGCTTGGACGCAACCAGCTGCGGAACCTGGAGCAAGGCCTATCAGCTTTAAGCTCCAGTGTCCTCGTCCACAGAACAGGGGGTGTGTGTGCTGCTGTGTGCATGAGCCCTGGGATGCCATGCTCAGGGAAGGCCGGTCACAAGAGGTGCAAGCAACCCGGGCACCCACGAACAGAGGACCAGGTCAACAGAATTGTGTTCATGTACGGCGCAACTGTACTCTTTTTAACTTCTTAAGAAGGAAGTTCTGAAACCTGCTACAACTTGGGTTGAGGACATTTTGCTCTGTGACATAAGTCAGTCACAAAAGGGCAAATCCTTATGACTCCACTTCTGTAAGGTCCCTGGAGTCATCAAATCCAGAGAGACAAAATAGATGGTGGGCGTTGGGCTGGGGGAGGGGCGCGGGGAGCTGGTATTTAATGGAGACCAAGTTTCAGTGTGGGAAGATGAGCACATTCTGGAGACAGATGGCAGAGCTGTGGTTGTGCATGTGGTTGATGCCCTGAACTGGGCACAGAAATGGTCAAGACAGTCAATTTCACATTGAGTGTACTGACCACAATTTCTTAAAAACTTAAAAACAAAACAAACTGAAAAATTTTTAATTCAGGATTCTAATGCCTACACTGCAGAATTATTGAAAAGATCAGGGCGTGACATCTGAAGAGTGCCTGGAAACCAGGGGGTGCCCGGAGGCAACGATCCTGGTAGTTACGAGGGCCCCTTGTGGCCACCCTGAGAGCTGGGGACTTGCTCTAGGGGCCTCTCAGAGAAGAGGCTCACATGGGTAACGTGCACTACCCCTGGAGGATGCGGCCCTGGCCAGTCCGAGGCAAAGATGGTACGAGGGTCATGCCCTGGGCCCTCCTGGCTCACCTGGCACGTCCCAGGCTCGGCCTCACTGCACGGTCCTCAGTGGACCTGGCCCCTGGCTGTCCCACCAGCAGGCGCCCCCTCCCGTGGCTGAGCAGAGGTACCTGAGGTGGCTCTTCTTCCAGGAGATCGTGTGGAACACAGTGGACACCACGAAGAGCCCACACAGCCCCAGGCCGTAGATCCAGGCGGAAATGGCCTCCCAGTCGTCGTCTGACAGGAAATAGAGGTTGGAGCTGCCAAGGATGCTGGGAATGATCCAGAGCTGGAAGCGGACGTGGGATAGGGACAGCCTTTAGCGTGGGCTCCTAAGCTTCCCCAAGCACCCTGCCCGCCCTATCCTCCAGACCCACTTGGCCAGCACAACTTCCCAGGCGATAGAAATGTCCTAGACCCTCACTGTCAAATGGGAGAGCCTCTAAGCACATGTGGCTACTGAGCACTTGAAACGTGACTGGCTGCCACTAGGGAACTGAATTTTTCATTTTATTTCATTTTAATTGATTTCAATTTCAACAGCCACACGAGGCCAGTGACCGCCATCCTGGACAGTACAGCTCTAGAGAACATAGTGGTAAGACAGGAAGCCAAGACCCCTGCCTTTAAGAGACATCACCAGTTGCTGGCCCCACGCCACATCACTGGTACCCCCAGCCTCAAGGTGCCCACACACACCACCCTGCTTCTTGCCTCTCTGTGGCCACACATGTCATGTAGCTTCTACCAGCAGACTGTTCCTACCCATCACATCCACCTGGAAAACTCCTCCCTCAGCCAAATTCGTTTGCCCGTTGTCCCCTCTGAGAAGTGTCAGGATGCTCCAAAGCACCAGGGCAGGAAGTCCTTGCCCAATTCTGTGTGCTGGGAGCACTTTTTCTGCAGAAAGGATCTATGCCAACACCAGCCAGTAGACAGGGAATTTTAGATTTTTCTTGTAGTCACATTTTAAAAAGGAAAAATAAGTGGGTGAGACTAATTTTAATGATATATTTTGTTTAGCCCAATATATCCAAAATATCATTTCAACATGTAAGTAATGGAAATTGTTAGGAAATATCTTACATTCTTTCATGCTAAGTCTTCAAAAGTTGGAGTGTATTTTATACTCACAGCATATCAGACAAGCTGTGTTTCTAAGGCTCAACAGGGACATGGAGTCAGTGGCTGCTGAACTCGACAATGTAGGACTAGACCTTTCATTAGATTCTCAGAGGGGTTCACTGCCCAGAGAAGGATTCCTTAGGCGAGGCTGTGGTGGGGAAGGCAAGCATTCCTGGCAGTGGGAAGAGCCTGTGCAAAGGCACAGAGTTGTGCCTTCTATTTAGGGAGCAGTGTGTTCAGATGCTGGCTCCTTGGGGAAGAGCAGGGCAGTGGGAGGGGAGCAGACATACGAGCTAAAACCCGGCTGGGAGCTTGTTATGGCATCCAGATGCTGTAGCAGGTACCAGGGAGCCACTAAAGATTCTTAGAGCAAAAGAGAGGCATGCCCAGCACTGCCATCCAACCCACCCAATGGCCTTCCCTTGAGATCCCACTCACTCTCCCAGCCACCTGGGGCAGTGCCATGGGAAGGGGCGGTGAACCTCTCCGAGGACAAAGAGGCTGCCTTCCTCCCCCACCCCGGAAGTGTCCCTCTCAGCCCCCCAGAGCTGACTCACAGCATGCGTGGCACAGTTGGCCACATGTTCATACTTCGTGGGCTGGTACCTCTTGTGGGCAGGGACCCGGCGGTTCATGAACCTGGAATGAGAGGCACAACTCCTGGAAGCTCGGCCAGGAAACTGGGAGCGTCTGCAGTCAGATTCCCATGAGGCCCGAAGACCTCAGCCCCTACGGGCAGGAAGAGAGGGTCCCTCTTCCTCCCCCTCTCACTTTCATCACACTTTTTTTTTAACTACCCAATATTTTCTGCCTAATCCACAATAAGGTTTTTGTTAGAAACCTTTGCTAAATGTTGGGGTGCAGCATTTTCCCGTTACGTGCAATGCCACACAGCACAGCTCCCCAAGGGCACAGCTCAGTGAAGGCGCCCACACGGCCCCACCAGGGAGGAGCAGAGCTCACTTCCCAGACCCCAGAGAGCTCCTTTATGCCCCCTCCCAGAGGGTATCTCCCCCCAATTCATTGCAGTTCAGGCTGTCCTGAACTTCCTATGGATGGGATCACAGTCCCTCCTTCGGGTTTCTTTGGCCCCAGGTGACTGTGAGATTCATTCATGGTGTCGATGCAGCCATCGGCTATCTTCCTTGTAGGACAGTATTCCACTGGGGGAGGCTCCACAATTCCTGTATCCAGTCGGCTGGAGGCAGACGTGCCAGTCAGGGCTAAGACTCTTATAAGCATTCACGTGTACACCTTTTGGAAGCATCTGCATTCATTTCTGCTGGACACAGGGCCACATGTGGAATTGCCAGGTGGCTTCAGCATTCCTGATATTTGGTGTCTTTTGGGAATCTTCCAGGACTCGTCCCCTCCCCTCCCTCCCTCGTTTGATTGGTACTGGAGTTCCACAAGCGGAGGGCACCACCACCACGCTTTCATGGAGGGGATTCAACAGTGCAGAGGCCAGGAGGGGACATGGCCCAGCGCCCAGCACTTGGCCCCAGGCTGGGCTGGTGCGACTCTGTGCAGGGGTGTGCATGTTGGGCTGGGAAGGTAAGCCTGGCTGGCCAGGGGCACAAGAATCTAAGAACTGGGGATTGAGATCTGCATGCAATTGGCTCTTGGGTCAGAAAGCAGGGCCAGCCCGGCAGGAGTCACCTGCTCAGCCCACACGGGCTCAGAATCAGGGAAGTAGACAGTTTGCCTTAGACTTCGCCAACCGTTGTCATTCACCAGATGGAGTTAAACTCCACTAAAACACCAAAAATTCTTCCCCAAGATCCCAGTTCTTCTAGTGAAGACCCACAAAAATGGGAAAGGAGTATATATGGTTCAGAACAAAGGGCTCAATATAGTACAGGTCAGAGATTTATTATGCAACTTCTGTTTGCTGGTGTCATGCTAGTACAGTTCACTGAGAATTTACTGAGCACTATCTGCATGCTGGATGGATGCCAAGTACAATTCACTGAGGAATTATAAGCACCTTCTATATGCTGGATCCATGCCAGTACAGCTTATAGAGCATTTATTAAACACCTTCTGTAGGCTGGCTCTACACTCAACGTGGGGACAGAGGGTTAGGATGACCTGGCCTCGCCCTCAGAGTTCAGCAGTCCTGAAGGTGTCAGGGCCAAGCAGAAATCCCAATTTAAGGTGATGCTTCTCATTCTCACAGGAAACATTTACTGTGTTCTGACTATGTGCTGGGTGGCAGTGGGTGTTCTGGGGGTTCAGAGGAAGGACACAGGGTAGGCAGAAGGCTCCTGAGAGGGGAAAGGTCCGCGCCATGTCTGTGGTTCCCAGGGCACAGGAACACACAATCCCCTGTGCCCAGCACAGCACCTGGCACCTGGTGGGCACCCTGCACACAAGTGTTAAATAAGTGAGGACTTGGCCTGGAGAAAGAACGGCAGGTGAGGTCAGGGCACTCCTGGCACAGGGACCAGCATGGACAGACAGGGAGTGTGCACGGCGTTTTGCAAGCAGTGCATGTGTGCAGGGTGGGAGTGAAGACTGGAAGGGTGGGGGTATCTACCAGGCGTGACATTGTCACTTGCCCTGGCACCCTTGGGATTTGTCTTTCCTATGCTGGCCCCTCGGCACATGGACTAGTCTGGGGTTCCCAATTTGTGGCCCCCATCCCCACTGCTCTCTGCTGGCATCTGTGGTCACTCTACCCGCGACAAAGCCAGGGTCATGCTGAGCCCATGAGACAGATGTGTAAACTAACCCCCCTCCTGTGCCCACCGCCACCCCCACCCCCACTATACAGCAAGTCCTAGGGCCAGGCTTCTCAGCTGAGCCGACCAGACGTCAGTGCTCCAACTCCCAGTCTGAACACCACGTGGGGCAGATTAGCAGGGCTACGGCCACAGAGATGAAGGACCTACCCCTGGAGGTGAGGGCCCCACGGGAGTACAACCTTCCCAGGAGCCCAAAACAACCATTCCATCATGAGCCCACCTTCTTGGTGGGTGGCCCGGAACGAAGTCATCGGTGGCCAAGACTGGCTTGTTAAATACAACGTAGCTACGACAAAGTGGTGTTACAGATTGAACTGTCTCCCCCGAATCCCAGTGTGGAAGTCCTAGCCCCCAGGGTCCAGAACATGGCCTTATCTAGAAACAGAACAGAGCAGGTGTAATTAGTAAAGATGAGGTCTCCCTGGAGGAGGCTGGGCCCTGCCCTGACATGACTTGGGGTCCTATAAGATGGGGAGATGACACAGAGGTGCACAGGGAGGAGGCCACGCAACACAGAGGCAGAGAAGGAATGAGGCGTCCACAGGCCAAGAAGCTCCGAGGATGGCCAGCTTCCCCAGATGCCCAGAGAGAGGCCCGGGACACATGCTCCCCCAGTGCCTTGGGAGGGAACGTACCCTGCTGGTGCCTCGATTCTGGATGCCCGGCCTCCAGAGCTGGGAGAGAGTAAATGTCTGTTGTCAGCCACCAGGTGTGCGGGCATTCAGCCCTAGAGACACTGACACAGGTCCACCAGTGTTAACTGGGATGGATTCAGAGTAAAGGCCCCCAGGGGGGATGTGCCATTTACACTCCCCCAGCTGGGCTAGGGGGGCAGAGGCCAACCTCTCTCCCAGCGGTGACACCAAGTCTCCGGTGGAGGGAGCTCTCCGGCACCTGTTTCCAGCTCTCCTCTGCCCCTGGCACACACATCAATGAGCCACCCAGGGCACCAGCTTCCCGAGGTCAAGGGTGGTGTCATCGTTGCCGTGGTGACCCTGGATGGACAGTTATTTATTTATTTTTGAGCGCCACAGAACTTCCCTTGTCCCTCACTGGAGCTGCAGCCACTGAATGCCGGGCAGAGAAAGAGGCCGGGAGACAGGGCCCCAGGGGCTGGGCACACGCCCAAGAAATGGAGTTCCCACCCACCCCCCAAACCAGTGACTTTTTCTTTAACTCCTTGTAGCCTAATATCTTTCTTCCTAAACCTCTAGGCAAGCATTTTAAGAGGACAATGAACTTATTGTTTAATTAATTTCTCATTTGCCCTTTTGATTTACATATGGTATAGTTTTTTTCTTTTTTCTTTTTTCCCACTGCACAGTTTCTTATGAATTTTGGAAAATGTGGAAAGTCGTCTATCACCAGAATCAAGATAAATAACAGATTTATCATCCCCTCAAAGTGCCCACATGCCCCATGGTACCCAAAACCTCTCCCCAGTCCCACACCCACTGCCAGGCTCTGTCCCTATAGCTCTGCCTTTCCCAGGATGTTCTGTAAATGGAGGCAGATGGTAGTCTTACAGCCGTTTTTTAATGTCTAATGAGAATTTATTGTACAAATTCAAAGTACATTCTTAGGGGAGGAGAATGTGCTTTGACGCCTAAACAGGTATTTACTTATTTTCCATTTAAAACACACCTGAGACAAACCTATTTTATACAAGAAGATGGACGTTCCTAAATCGAACATTACCGTTCTTGGCAATTATCCAAATAACCCTTCCATCCTCTTTTTCTCTGTATGGCCCTTTGAGTGTGGCCATTCTCACTCGGCCCAGTGCATGTAAGATTCAGCCATGTTGCTATGTGTACCAGTGGTTCCTTCCTTTTTATTGCTGGGCACCATTCCATTATATGGGCTATAATGGCTTGTTTACCCCATTCCCCAGGAGAAGGACAAGGGAATCATTTTCAACAGATGACATGCACAGGTAAACTTTAAAACGTTCCAGAACAGAGCTGGCAGTCAGACAGGCAGCTTTCAACATTATGGGAAATTTCCCTTAAAAGAATTGATATTTCTAGGAAGCAGGTAGTCACTGGTTAAACCAAAAGAGGAAACTGAGCCTGCCCGTCTCCTCTCTGGAGAACAGAATCCCCATTTTGCAGCCAGCCCATGCTGCTTAGATGGCCCCCAGGGCCACAGCATTTGATGGGGTGGGGAGGGCAACTCCCTGTGGAGGGCTCCCAGCCTGAGCGGAGATCCAGACCCACATGCTGGCAAGGGAACAAGGACAGAAGTTTGAATTCCTTCCTAAACTGGAGGGAGCAGGGGCCTTTGGAGCTAGACACAGCTGAGTGGAAAATCTTTGCATGGTCACTAAGGTGCTGTGTGTCCTAGAGAATATTAGTTACTCACCCACTGCCAGGCTCTGTCCCTATAGCTCTGCCTTTCCCAGGATGTTCTGTAAATGGAGGCAGATGGTAGTCTTACAGCCGTTTTTTAATGTCTAATGAGAATTTATTGTACAAATTCAAAGTACATTCTTAGGGGAGGAGAATGTGCTTTGACGCCTAAACAGGTATTTACTTATTTTCCATTTAAAACACACCTGAGACAAACCTATTTTATACAAGAAGATGGACGTTCCTAAATCGAACATTACCGTTCTTGGCAATTATCCAAATAACCCTTCCATCCTCTTTTTCTCTGTATGGCCCTTTGAGTGTGGCCATTCTCACTCGGCCCAGTGCATGTAAGATTCAGCCATGTTGCTATGTGTACCAGTGGTTCCTTCCTTTTTATTGCTGGGCACCATTCCATTATATGGGCTATAATGGCTTGTTTACCCCATTCCCCAGGAGAAGGACAAGGGAATCATTTTCAACAGATGACATGCACAGGTAAACTTTAAAACGTTCCAGAACAGAGCTGGCAGTCAGACAG